TAAGGGTGCTGAGGTACATTTCATTGACGGAGCTGCCCGTGTCAATGTAAGTTCGGTGAATGATGGTGTCGTTTATTTCAGTCCGAATCACCAAGGCATCCCTGTGAGGAGAAGAAGTAGGAGGGAGATCTGCGTTGGTGAAGGTGATGGGTTCCTCCCTCAGCCGCTTTACCGGGGGCATATGAGTGACTTCCCCCACGTAAAGCGATTGAGCCAACTTTTTCCGCTGGCTGGTGGAATCGCCCCCTGTATTGCCACCGGTGATCATGAGGATGTGGCGTTTCTTCTCCTGGTAGTGGGGGGTACTCCTCTTCCTCCTCCAAGTTTCCGATCTCCCTCTTCTTGCCGAGGGGGATGGTGTTCGGGTTCACCCAAGCGTTCACCTTCGTGTGGTGCCCTCGGGGAGGTCCCTGATGAGAAGGTCCCTCCTGCCGAGGGCTCTGGATAAATTGGGACAGGTGCCCCACTTGTATCAATCTCTCGATGGCCGTCTTTAGCTGATGGCAGTCATCGGTTCTGTGCCCCTGATGCCGATGGAAACGACAGTATGGGAACTGAGGGTTGATAGCATGTACCTCCGGGGGTGCGCGAGAATCGCGCTCAATGAGGCCCCTCTCCTCGGCAAAATCAAGGATGATGCTGACGGGGTGCGTCAACGGTGTCCGGGGGCGGTCCAGGAGAATGTGTTGTGCCCAAGTCTTAGGGTTGTTCTTATAACCTCCCCCGGGCTTGGCTTGGCCTTGCCGAGGGCGGTCATCAGAGGGTCCTGAAGCCTTGGGGTGATTTGGAGGAGCCCCCGGCCCCCGGTTGTTCTTGTTGTCAGCCTTCGGGGGTTGCTGATATGGATGCTGGTGGTATTTCTCTACCTCCTCGGCCTCGGCATATCGGTCCCCCCGCTGCAGGGCCCTTATGTAGTCGCGGGGGGGGGGGGGGGGGGGGGGGGGGGGTCAATGATGAGGCTCCTTGAAAAGTTGCCGGTGCGGAGGACGGTTTGTAGGAGGGCCAGGAGGGTCCTGTCGTCAGCACCGTCGACTTTGTCGGCTTCCGTTCTCCAACGTTCCAGGAAGTCCCGAAGGGTCTCATCCCTCCTCTGACGTATGGTTAGGAGGTGGGAGAAGTGCTTCCTCGTGCGACGCCTCCCGGCAAATTGCGTCAAGAATGGCTGGGCGAGTTCTTGCCACGAATCAATGCAGCCTTCGGGTAACCGGTTGAACCATTCGTATGCCGGCCCCTCTAAGGTGGAGAGGAACCAACGACACAAATATTCGTCCGACGCCCCTACCATCATCATGCTGTTCTGATATTTGCTGTAGTGTTCCTCGGGGTCCGTCTTCCCATTGTAGGGCTGTATGTGTTGCCCTCGGTATTTTTCCGGGATCCGGGCCACCAATACCCTTGGGGTAAATGGCGTCCGGGTCCGGAGCTGGATGATGGGTTCTCCGGAGCCCTCGACTACCTTCTTCTGTAATTCCTCCATTTTGGCCATCATGGCCTCGTATTTGAGGTCTGAATGAGGGGTGGAGGTGGTGGCGTGAGCTTTGTTGGCCTCCATTTCATCAAGCCGGCGTTGGAGGGCCGCAATAATCTCGTCCCGGGGGTCCTTCGGGAGGGTCTCCGCCCCCTGCGAACGAACCCGGGCCGAGTGGGCCTGGTTGATTTGGTGGCGAGCATCGTCGGCATGAAGGGGTGCCTTGCCTTTGTCCCGAGGGGGACACTCCTCGTCTTCCCTCGAGACAGACCCTCCGCTTTCTTGGGGCCTTTGGAGTGCCTTTCCTCCGAGGCGGTCTTGGACCCCTCGGCGGTCTTGCCCCCTTCCGAGCCAGGTTGAGGGCGGAAGTGCGCCTTTCTCTGTTGTCATTGTGGCGGTCCCAGGACTGAACTTCCTGGGAGGCCGTATCTTGGGCCACTACCCCTTCGTCATTCCTAACCCGAGGGATGGGGTTTCCGAAGGGGTGTGGCAGAGGGGGAAGTATGATGTTCTCCCCAACCTGGGGTTGAGCCAAAGCCAGGGTGCCGGAGGCACCTGGGTTCTGAGTGAGCCTCTGGATGAAGGCGGAGAGCGCCGAATGAACGTCGATGGTGAGAACCGGAGGGCTGATTTGGTCATCGCTCCGGTTCTTCTTCTTGGCCTCGATGCCGAGGCGGGCATCGGGGGCACTCTGCTGGATCTGAAGGCGTAGGTCGACAGCCGCCTGTTCCAGCCCAACGATGACACCGCCCTCGGGAGCCCTGTGAGAGGCTTCGGGGGCGTTGACGTCGCCGAGGGCCAGGTTCTTGTCTTCTACGTTTTTGGAGTTGGCACGTGTTGTTCTCACCATTTTGGTAGAGGGCTAGTGTTTGACGGAGGGGGAGGGTTTCTTACTTGATAGTTCGACCTCTCAACGAGAGCACCAAATGATGGATAGTGTACCCAGGGGGTAGCTTATCCGGGGGGTTATTACGGGGAATAACAAGAGAGAAGTCAGAGCAAGTAAATATAGAGAGAGAAAGTATATTATAAGCGTGGAGCGTTTTCAGCGTGTTATGACTTGGTTACAAATGGGGAAATGGGGTGCTATTTATAGTAGCAATAAATGTCGGACAGGGACACGTGTCAAGCGCCCATTGGCCGAGAGGTCACCTCAACTGGTTGGCGCTGGCAGCCGCATGTGGCCGCATTTAATGCGGTTGTTGGATGGGACGTTGTACAGGGTACTGTGATCTGTACGCATGTGGCGCGGATATTATGTCGGGAGAGGTGCCCTCGGCTGCAGAGGACTGGCCGAGGGCTCTGAGTGCCGGGGACCCCCTGGGTGCCGAGGGCTACTGTTTTCTGCCGTTTTTCTCCCAATTTCTTAGTTTGCTTGAAAACCCATTCTGTGAGAGTTTTGAGCCTTCGGCCAGGGGGGCCGAAGGCTCCCCAGTGTGCGCTGTGGGCTGCTAAGTGCTTGGGGCGCCGTAATTTGGGGCCTGCTGTGCTTCCTGGGCCGGTTGGGCCTTTATTGGTGTAGTAGGAATCTGTGGGCCGGGGGTTCCCGGGCCATATACTCCATCAATATATAACTATAAAACTTAATCAAAAATACTAAAAAACTTAAGCAACTAAGACAGATGATGAGACGAGAAGAGAGTAGAACCACCTGCGAAGTTGTCTGCTTCAGTGAGGAACAAGGTAGGAAGGGCAAAACTTCTTCCTGGTGTTATTGCAGTTCTTCTGCGGTAAGTCTTCTGCGGCGATGGGCAACGAATACTTCGAAACTTCGTATTTCGTAAGCTTATAAAAGAGTAGATTAGTTGGGGCTTTGGAGTTTGGGCTTTATGGTTAATCAATAATTAAATTAGTTTCCTAAAATTAAAGCCTAATTCTACGAAGTATTTATGGATTATAATATACTCCCTATGTCCCGCTAATAATGGGACAATAGGGAGTGACACGCAAATTAATAAAAAATGCTTTATGTGGTTGATTTGAATTGATAAAGTAAGAATTAAAGTAAGAATGATTTACAGCCACACAAATTTTACCAAATTTGGTATGGGACAATTTAATTGGGACGGACCGATAAGGTAAAATGGGACAATCATAGTGGGACGGAGGTAGTATATAAAAAATAAAATCTTTAGGAAAAAAACATAAAAACTAAAATTTCAGTCCAAACCAGACCAGACTTGACCTGACCAAAACAGACTAGACCAGACCAGACGAGACTAAAGCAGACCAGACTAGACCAGACCAGACCAGACCAGCAAATTACGGTCCAAGTAAAAACATCCTAAATAGTAAATATGACAAATTAAATGAAATGAGAATGCAAATGTCTGAGTACATTATTAAAGTAACACTTCAAAGAAATTAAAAAGTTACCCATTTGAAACTCCTGCCAATGTTGACATTTAACTAGGTTACAAAGCACACCAAAAATGAAATGAGAGTAAGAATATATCCATATATACTTATTCAAACTTATACTTATTCAAACTTATAATATATCCATATATCCATATATACTTATTCAAACTTATTCAAACTTATACTTATCCATAACACAAAGATCTTCCTATTTTAACTTTTCACGGTCTTCTAAGTTAAACTTTGACTCTAAATATCTACATATCTATATATAAAATTCATAATAAATTAGCATTCAAATAATATATTTTACAATGAGATATATGAAATAAATTTTTAATTATAACATAATGTGAGTTTTAATAATTAATGGTCAAAGTTTATAAATTTTGACTCAAAAGAGTCAAACTGTGAAGATTCTAGGGTTAAGGAGGTAGTAACATATATGGAGTAAGAGATAATCATGAGCTAATACATGTCCATCCCCTGCTGTGTCCATCTGTCTGACCATTGCCAACTTGCATTTGTTTAAAAATAATAAACTTTATATCAAGATAAAAATGTAGAAAACAGCTTACCGGAAGTAGTAAAAGATTTCTATTTTATTTTATTAAACTTCAAATAAGGGCATCCACAAGTCCAAGTAGGGCAGTAGTATTGGGAAATATAATACGTAGAATAAGCCAAAATAAAAATAAAAAACAAATACATGACTTATACAAGAGACGTGTCTCTAATCTCTGCTTTCTATACAAGTTGTGGTGGCCATCCATTCCCCATGGATCTTGCAAAAGCAAACAAAAACCTTTTTCGTCACTCTTCTTTCAGTAGAGTACAAAATACTAGTATATCATTGATGGATTATATATATACTCCCTGTATATGTCTCACTTGTAGTTAGCTAAACTTTATTTTTGGGATCAATGTTTTCTAACTTTGACCAATCATAGATTTATATATAGAAATATTGTTGAGGTGAAAATGACATGAAAATGTTCTTTGTCGAAAATATTATCATAAAAATATTAAATTATTAAATTTTGTATAAATATATCATTTATAATAATTGGTTAAAGTTTATCATTTTTAACTGGAAAGTTTTGCTAACTAAAAAAGGATGGAGTAGTATATAACTATATATTTGGACTTTGGTCATAAATTCACGACTTACATAAAAACGTTGCATGCAGATACGTTATAAGCTTGCAGAGCATATAGAAATCGCCGACCACTATATTTCCCGGCGTAGGAGGTCAATCATTAGGTTAGCAATGCTGGCCATGTCCCCATCTCCGGCGATGGGTAACTAAGATGATATCAGATTGCGTGGCAACAACCTGACGGAAAGAGTTCCGATGGGGTGCACCGACGGGTTCCCAGACTTTACCGGCGACAACTACATGCTGGACAGCCTCGACTTCGACGACCTCTTCATGGTGATAAACGACGATGCACTTCTGCTGCCGGATTTGAAGGCGAATCCGGTGGTGCTCTCAGTGGCCGAGAAGATAGAAGATGAAAGCGCCACCAGTACATTTGTGTTTGGTGATGTGGCGGTAGAAGATAGAACGTTGACCAGGACGCAAGAAGCTAATACTAAGAATGTTTTGGGTCCGTCTAGTTCTGGTTCGGACCTTGGATCGGGCCTCACAAGCTCGAACCTAGGAGAAGAAACAATGTCCAAGTGTGCGCATAAACGGAAGAAATCATTGGCGCAACCGAAGAACAGCTCACAAGGAAAGAGGAAAGTTAAGGTAATTTGCCATTTCTTTAAGCTAGGCTGGCTTACCATATCACAATCTTTCTTCCCTACTTTTTATTTGCATAGTTTTCAGTTCAAAACCTTCAAAATTGGGGAGCTCGAAAATTGAACATTTAGAGGCTCCTTTTGGTTTGTGGCGTTTCGATGAAACCGGTGACTTTTTTAAACTAGAAAACGCTACATTTTGTAGCGTGTTGATACCAAGCCGCTGAAAAACAAACGGCTTCAGAAGTTTTCGGAGGAATGAAGGGTCACAAAAGCCTCCAAGTCATCTCCTACAATTTTATATTTCCAAACATGAAAAGGAAGGTCATAAACCTCATCAACCTTCACCTCCCTTCCAAAACCGAACTCCCAAACATAATGCACGAGTCGAAGATATTAGATCCAACCAAAAGTACCATGAGAAACAGACTTAATTATTGATTGTATGTAGGGTCTTACATTTATCTGATTTAGTGTCTTATTAATCCTCTAAAAACTGATATATATGATGCAATGTGTAAAGGTGGATTGGACGCCAGAGCTGCACAAAAGGTTCGTGCAGTCGGTGGAGAAGCTAGGTTTGGATAAGGCAGTCCCTTCAAGGATTTTGGAGCATATGGGAGTTGAATGTCTCACTCGTCATAACATTGCCAGTCATCTTCAAGTGAGCACTACTGTTTCAATTATTTGGTCCCATATAAACGTGAGGATGAAAATTAGACTTTAATCATAAGTTAACGGTTAATGAATCGGCATCTGGGTTCTGACCCAGATACAGAGATACTTGTCAGAACTTAAACCCGAAACTTACCTCTATCTATCAATTGAGTTACGCCCACCAAACTCGAACTATTTTGCAACTGTTAGAATAAACACGTTTACATGTTCTAATCTAGTGGATGACCATTCACATATCATTCTGTGCATATGTTTGTTCCACTCCCATGAATTTACTCCATGACATAGTAGCTGAGTTGTGCGTAAAATTTGTAATGTGCAGAAGTATAGATCTCACAATAAGCATTTACAAGCGCATGTAAAGAGGAAATGGAACCCAATGCCGAAAATGGGAGGAAAAAGAGGGACAAACCGTTCACCACCAGTGGGCTTCTTCCCTCCCCAAACGCCGCATGTCAGTCCTCTGCATGTGTGGGGTCATCCTTTTCTTAACCAATCACTAGGGCACGTGTGGCTTAACCATTTATTAGCTCCTTCTTGGTCTCCTGCCGCGGCATGGTCATTCGCGGCGACTCCGCCACCACCACCGCCGCCAACTAACTTTTCCTTTTGGCATTCCTACCCCAACGAATGTGTAAGTACGTACATACATGTTAATAATTTAATTTATGGGTATTAGCCCTTCGTACGATTAAAATTAGTCCAAAATTGAACAATATGAGTACAATCGCTTTATTTCTAAAATAGGACCAATATATGTCCCTTCTTCCCACTCTACCCTCTTCCAATAATTTTAAATAGCTTTATTTTATTAATAAGAAAATCATAGTTTTATTTTTAATAAAAATATAAAAAATAATAAAATGTTATAAATTAATAATAAAAACGTGAAAAAAAAATAAAAAATAAAAAAAGATAATAATAAAATATTTAAATAAAATTAAAAAGTATGAAAAATAATTTAAAATAAAATACCTAAAAAATATTTAAAAAATATGTAGGTCACTGCCAACGCGTCCTCTACCTCCTAGCACCACCTGCTTCGGTCGCCGAAAAAAATGTAATCTTGTGTAAAAAATGCAACATTTCTCTGAAAATGGCATTTTAATTCTTTGAAAATATGTAGCTTTCTCTTCAAAACTGCCATCATGATGACGTTTTTTCCTCAACTTGGCAATCTTTTCCGACGACCGGTGGCGGTGCTGGAAGGTGGGTGAGGTGGTGGGGTTGAGGTCTATATGTTTTTTATTTTTTTTTTACAATTTTTTATTTTTTTATTTTATTTTTTTTTTATTTTATAATGATTTTTTAAAAATCCTATTAGGAAGGACAAAGGAAAGGGTAGAATTGGAAGAGTTAGTTCTATTTTGAAAATTTAAACTTTAAACTCCTATAGTTGCAATTATGCTTTTATTTAGTCCTATTTAGGTAAATTTCCCTTTAATTTAAAGAGGATATTTTATCACAACATACGTACATACCCCATTTTAATAGATAAGATTAAAATCTTCTATGCTAGAAAAGTTTTATCGATTTATTTTATTAGTCTCAAATAATAATGTCAAAACTCTTTTAGGATTTGTAATAAAAGAGTATTGTTTTCTTCCACATGCAAATAAGTTCTGAATTCTAGTCCGGAATCAAATTGAGGCTTCCTTTTTTAAAACCAAATCTTAGTTCTGAATTCTGATCCTGAATCGGAACAGGTGTAGGGCTGTCGGTATCTGATCTGTTAATCTGTAAAGAGTGGGCAATGGCCATTATCGGTATGTTCCGCTGCAAATTTCTTTTTCGAATCGGAATATTCAATCCAAAAGCACCCAAAGCCGATCCAAGAAATGTATTAGAAAATTGGAATGGATAAATCAACCCGAGCAAAATAAAAGGGTTGTAACGATAATGTGATTATAATCTGTTAAAGTCCTTCAATTTAGACATTTGAACGGACCAACGAGTCAAATTTCCCAAAATTAATTTATACTTCCTCCGTCTCTTTTTAGTTGCAACAGGCGATGTGTCTGGAAACTCGGAATCGTAAATGGATTCGAGTACTATTCTGATTTAACATTTCACGTTTGCCAACGCACAACTTTGACCGTCATTATATTTAATTCTGTATTAGTAAAAATAAAATAAAAATCAGATTATAAAGCTTAGTAATGAGACGAATTTAACAACATTTTTCAAAAAAAAGTAATTCACATACATTAATAAATAAAATGTAATCAAAGTAAAGTACATGAATAGTGTATATATTACAATGTTGCAATTAATGAGATACGGATGATAGTATATAAGCAATATGATATTCCAAATTAAAAATATACAGTAATACTTTTCTATCTAGATGAGTAATGATGTTTTCTTTTAGATTGAATTTCCTGCTCTGATCTGATCTGGGACTATAAACAATATATCCCAAAAAAATCATTTGTGCTATGGCGTATTTAAGAGATCTTTGTTACTCCGTATTTAAGTACTCCCTCCGTCCCAGAATTTACTTCCATAGTACAAATGGCAGATTGATTAAGAAAGTGGGAATTGTGTGGTGGAGAGTTGTGCAGAGGAGAGAGAAATGTGTAAGAATGTGTAAAAATTGTTGGGAATCACAAATTATTTGCCAAAAAGGAAAAAAGAAGTTCTATTTGGGACAGACGAAAAGGGAAAGTTGGAAGTAAATTATAGGACAGAGGCCGTAGTACAATACAACTTGTTATTATTGTTTGATGCTATGAATGAATACGATGAAGAGACGTGGAGCTGCTGCAGTCGTATCCGGCATCGAGCGTCTACCCATGTACTCGTATGCATTACACCCCGGCTGCGTTGGTGTCCCGGCCTCCCAAACCATTCCTACGTCCCCACTTAATTCCAACTCGGTCAGCCCCTCTTCTCTACTAATAATACGGAGTAATTTTTAAGCTTTAAAGGAAAAATAATTTACATTCCTCAAGATAATGTGAGATAAGTACCTTAAACTTGAAGATGTAATATATATACAGTCTGTACTTTATGTAAAAACTTATTTTCACACCAACATGATTATATGTTGTAGATTTATTGAAATAATTAAATAATTACAAAATTTAAAATATTTTAAGCTTTGTTGGGATGCAATTTACATTCTAAAATTTCATTTGTCAAATAAATAATACTCCGTATTACATTCGGTGTAATTTATTTTTAATTGCCTCCCCATTAATGATTTTTGTATTTTATATTATGCATTTAACACCATAAAATTACATTTGTGAAAAAATACATGATCATGGTGCTAAAATAACATTTTGTATTGATTTTAGGGTATATATATTATATATGCAAGTTTGGAGTGTTTATCGCACATTCTTCAAAATTTGGGATATTTAGATTATCTTGTCCTTTTAATTACTCCCTCCGTCCCGGAATTATCTTCATTCTTTCCTTTTCGGTCCGTCCCAAATTTATCTCCTTTTTCTCTTTTTGGTAAAGAATATGTGGTTCACAACCATTCTTACACATTTCTATCTCCTCTGCATAACTCTCCACCACACAAATCTCACTATCTTAAAACCCGTGACCGGTCAAAACCGGAGTTAAATATGGAACGGAGGGAGTATAACACATGTAGTTTTATTCATAGAAGAAAGATACCGGCACTCTCCTGAACTATCTTTCAAATTAAATAGACTGTTTTTAGATATATTAAGAAAGAGAGACCTGCAGGAAGGAGAGGATATGTACAAATGAGTAAGAGGTTATGTGAACTACAATCTTAACTAACAAAAAATTATACTCTCTCTATCCCAATTTGATTTATAAAGTTGAATGACACAAAAATTAAGGAATGACGATAAATGATGTTTGCTTTTTATAATTTTGCATAACAACAACAACAACGTCCAAGCCTCAATCCCAAAAGAATTTGAGGTTGGCTAACATGAATCGATCTATGATATCGCTGCCAATAATTTTGCATATGTTCCAAAAAATAAATGTCCTTAAGTTAATGAAAAAAAGTAAAATTAAGGATAAATTTATCACTTTATTCTTATTACATATCTAAAATAGGAAATGGAAAATCATTTTAAGACAATCAGAACAATAAATTTTACAAAATAAATTGGGAGGGACTATAAAATTCGAAAAAAGGAAAGAACTATCAAGTAAGCCCTCGAACTTTCATAAAAAGTGCAAATAAGCCCTCTTACAGAAGGCTTTGTCCGGTTTTCGCCATTTGGGGCGGTTTTCGGAGGAATTTTTTGATGAAAATTTTTGAGAATCTTTTTCATCAAGTCTAGTTACCCATACCAAATTTTAGCTAAAAATTTAATCTAGAAGGCAGTCAAATGATTTTCTAACATATACTGCGCTGCCGAACTGGGCAGGTATTTTCAAAAATTTATTTGACTGCCTTAATTTCACCGGAAACGGCCCCAAATGGCGACGTCCAGACAGAACCTCCCATAAATGGGTTTATTTGCAATGTATGAGAGAAACTCAGAAACAACTTTTACACGTGTTTGGCAGCAATCTATGCGTTTCTTTTCTTGCATTTATGGAGTAACTCTCAAAATAAGTTTGCAACAATCTTATCACTTGACTACTTGAGCACATCCGATAAAATTGGTTGTTTGCCACAATCCGATCGTGACAGCTGTATGAATGATTGTAGGCATGATTGTATTTGTAAGGGGGTGATTAATGGGTGTGTTACAGTTTTTTAAAAAGCATGAGGCCTGTCGAAACGGCACCGCCGATCCTTAAAAGCATATAACCAATATATTTCTCCTTATTTGAAGGATCTTATATCATTTTGGTAAGTTTTTCTTCACAATGTCTAGATGTAGACATTGTGGTTAACATTGCAGGGAAAAATTTTCCAAAAACACATAAGACCGTGAAAAAACGGAGATAGAAATGTCATAAAACCAATCTTTTGTGTCTATCTCTCTCATGCACATTGTAGTATTGGAGATGCTCTAAGATTTTGAGTGTTTATTCTCTTCTTTCCCATTCTTCTATCCCACACCGGTGGGAGAGAAGTAATCCTCATGCTTCATGCTCTATAAAACAACTCCACCTTCTGATAACAACGTCTTCAAAGTATGAAAACTGATACCCTGGTCCACAATCGAAGGCTCAAATAATTTTGGGCGCCGCCCATTAGAACACTCTTTTGGTGTGTCTATTCTAAATTTGAAAAGGAATTTGTATTTACTCGTATGTTTAAAAATGGAAAAAGGTAAATTATATCGATGTACTTGAGCGTGTATGAGAGAATCCATGTCTTAAAAGTTACCTTTGTTTTGCACTATTTTGACGTATATTTGTTTCAACATACGGAAGTGAGAAGTTAATTTTGGTATTGATTGAAAAGAAAAGTAGGAAGTTAAATATATACCCCTGAATATATAAAAGGTGCAAAATCACCCCACATAATCATATAAAAGAGAAAATATACATTTATTGACTTTAAATAAATAAAATAAATTTTAAAATACGTTAAAACTAAATTATAAATTCGAAATTGAAATCATTAAAAAGTAAAGAGTTAAAAATAAAGATTTACTTCTAACCAAGCATTCCAGTCTAGCTGATTGTGAGGTTACCGTGCCTAGTGGTAGGTCTCTAGTTCGAAATCCGCTAGGCACATAAAGGGTTTGAAGCTCAATGGAGTGAGTTTCAGCCCTGATGACTCCAGGCCCCCTTAGGCCCCCTCCCCCAGATCCCCTGGGAAAAAAAGATTTACTTCTATGTTAAATATTAACTTTATAATTTTAAATTGAAAAATTATTATTTCTCTGTTGTAAATAAAGCACTTCATATTGATAAATATTAATTTTAGAGTTGTTGCGAAATTTTTAGCACATTGTTGCATTTTTGAAATAACATTCTTTGATTTTGTTTAACCTTAATAAAATTAAATTCACTATTTTGTAATATTATGCTTTTTATCATCATACAAAATATGTAATTTTATAGTGCAAAAAATACAAAAAAAAATGTTTTTTTCATTGCAACACATATGTTAACACTTTTTTGAAATAGTTTTAAATATATAGTAATGTTTTGAAATAATAGTTTTTTGAGGGATTTGAAATAATATTTTATGTTAACAATATTAAATTGTGATATAAAACTAATAAAAGGAAGATTTGGACACAAGTAGTCTTTTTTAATCAATTTGAAATTTATAATCAATTTTTGGTGTTTTTTGAAATTTATTTTATCTATTTAAAGTCAATAAAGGTAAATTTGCTACTTTATAGGAACATGAGAGGTATTTTTTGCATCTTTTAAAAGTTCAGAGGTATATATGTACCTCCACATAAACTTCAAGGGTATATTTGTTCCAAAAAAATAGAACAGAGATATATTTTTTTACACACCCATATTTGAAGGGTATATTTGTATTTTTTCCCAATAAAAATTTATCAAAGAAAATTTCAGATATTTTTATAAATCTGTTCCCTTGATATCCATCTAACTTTTTCTCTTGACGGAGTATAAGAGCATCTACAAGGGTATAATGTGCACGGTTCACATGTCACATAAGTATTTGCAAATGAATTATTTCTCTCCTTATTTAAATGAGTTTATATAATTTTTTTAAGTTTTTCTCCACAATGTCAAGAAAATTGTTTAAATGTTGACATTGTGTTTGACATTGACGAGAAAAACTTATCAAAATTGTATAAGATTATTCATATAAGGAGAGAGATGATTTATTTTCTAATATTTATGTGGTTACCTCTCATGACACATGTGCACCGTGCACATTGTAACATCAGAGATTTTCTAATCGGTTAGAAAAATATGTAACCCGCTTAATACAATTACAAATAAGATCGTGAGCGACGCGCAGTGCCGATCTTACCTAAACTCGGGCCTGAGTCGAGTTTAAAAAATGGGCCCTATACATAGTGTTTCTTTGTCATATAGATTCATTAAAATTCAATGATTAAATATCACAAAAGCGTTATTCTTAAATTAAAGTCTTGTTACATTATAGCAAAATGTCATGGGATGATGTATTAACAACTACTACCTCCGTTCCTATTAAAACTTCCAAATAGGTTTGGCACAGAGTTTAAGATAGTGGGTATTGTGTGGTGGAGAGTTGTGCAGAGGAGAGAGAAATGTGTAAGAAATGTTGTGAACCACAAATTCTTTACTAAAAAGGGAAAGTGGAAGTTTTAATTGGAACGGACGAAAAAGGAAAATTGGAAGTTTATTTAGGAACGGAGGGAGTAATTAAGTACAACTCATCGAACATCTTTAGATGCAAATGTATCAATAAAGTTTGCATATCTATGTTATCAATGAATTCCTTCTCAATTGATAACATAGCTAATCCGTTCAATCCTTTTGAGACATGGTTGAAGATATACTCTCCGAAGTGATTCTTTTATGAGAGAATTCCCTAAATAGGAGTAAAAAAGTTTTGAAATTCCAAAATCGGAGTATCATGTTTTTTATTCCTTGAATAGGAGTAAATTTCTGCCAAGTTTGGCATTACTAGCTTTAAAACATGGCATTTTTTTCCAAACTCGGCAGATTACTCCTATTAAGGGAATAAAAAACATGATACTCCTATTTTGGAATTTCAAAACGTTTTTGTTCCTATTTAGAGAAATTTCTAATTTTTTATTCAAAATCAAGTACTATGTACTTATTAATTTTTCCGGCCTGACTTTGAGTTAAAGATTGAATACATGATTTTCTTTTCCTCTTTTAAAATCGAGACAAAGATTTGGGAGGTATGACACTAAAAAATAAATAAATACATAATTTAATGAAATCCTTAACAATATATATTAGTAATTCTTTCTATAAAATAGAAAGTATTTAAATTAATTAATTGTGAATTGAGAATTCCATAATTGCAATATTGATAACACTAAATAATAAAAAACATGAAAGAATCAACTAATATTTACAAATTAGCCTATTTGGCATTCACACATGACAAATTACTTATACATCACATTAGCATTTAGCAAATCAATATAAAGTTAGATAATTTCTGAAAATACAAACAAATAACTAGATTTTACTTGTCCTGTCCAAGGGAGAAAATAAAAAATAACTACAAAATACATATGTATAATACTACTCCGTATTATATAAGTTTTGGGCCCCTAATTTTTACAAATTTTTGGGGCCCTGAGGCCCAAGCCTCTCCGGTCTTACATAAGGCACGGCTCTGGCGACGCGGGCCATTAAAAAGGATCAAAAGTACGTGGTAGGTATAGAGAGATGTGTTAAAATTTAATATAGTATAATACATTTATTCTATTGTGATAAATATAATAATATTGTATGTTCCAAGTTTAAACAGTCCAATTAATCTTGTTTGACAATTTGTTTGCATTCTTATTGTATCATATAGTGTTGCGGTTACCTCTGATCTGTATGCGCAGAATATATTCATGACCTTAAATTAGACATGCTAACATATAGTATACCTGATTTTGTTTTATGGAAGTTGGTATTGTTAAATGGCACTAAAAGTGTACATATAATTTCAATTTTGTTAGGCCAAGGAGACGATAGACACAGTTATTGGAGATGTTTTATCAAAACCATGGCTGCCACTTCCTGTAGGGTTGAAACCTCCATCCGTGGATTCCATTATGAAGGAGTTGCAGCGCCATGGGATATCTAAGGTGACCGTCCCGCGCTACCGCCGCGTTTGATCATCGGATGATTACTGTGCGGGCGCTCGAACTTTTTTTGAGGGTTTTTCGGGTCAAAGAAATCGAAAATTCCTTCTAATTTGACGACAATTCATCCCCTTTAATTAGATGAAGTTGAATTGCAGTTTTTGCCCCACTTTAATTAGCTTCTGCTTATTTTTGCCATGTTCTTGTCCATGCATGCATGTGCAAGTACATTGTTTAACAATGGGGTTGTATCATTTAGTATTTATCTCACTCTCTTTGTGTTTTTAACTCGATGTGATGGCTGTGTACTGTATGTTCTTTAATAAAATATGGTAAATGTTTTTCCGTCGATTTATAACCCGAGGAGAAAAGATATATATGATCGGAATTGTTCTTCATTATGAGCTAGATTTTGTTCCAACTTCTTGTTTCACATTGTTCCAATTTCATGGCTCAACTAAACAAAAATTTCTAAATATGATAAAATTAATGTGAATTTATAAAATATGTGTATTATTTTTCTTTTATATAATAAATAGTTACAATCATGCTTGGAAAACACTACCAAAATGATACTACATAATATTAGTATTGTGAATTGTGTCATTGTGATACTCTTGTATATTAATTAATTTCGAGAAAATTGTCTTTCATGCACGGCCAAACAACGAGTTTTGTGTTGTCCCATCAAGGAGCAAGAGTAAAAATGGATTAAAGGTATCAATTCATCCTAAAGATTGAGACTTTTTCACCAGGGCCATAATGTTATCTAAATAGACGTTTTCCAAAATTTGGAAGCAGACTTTCAAATATTTTGTCTCTTGGTCATTTCGAGGTGTTTTATATTCTATGTTTTTTGTTATTATACTATTATTATTGATAAACATTTCAATGTTATTTCAAATGGAAATTACAAAACTCATACTATAGAAACATTATATAATTTAAAACTTAAAATTTCATATGGAAGTTTTATCCCGGGCAATGCTCGGGTACAAAACTAGTTTATATCTCAATTGGAATCGCTATGTACACTTTGAGTGCAAAATTACCATGATCTTCAACAACTAACACTCCATAATAAATAAAGGATAGTTCCAAATTATTGATTTCCAAAAATACGATAGTCTCTCTCGCTCACTTGAACCGTGTTCATACTCCATAGAATCATAGATGAGCAGCAGGGCTAGTCTTGAGAAAATGAGGGCCTTGTGCAATAAATAAATTTGGCATTCCTTTCCAACACAAGTAGCAATTGAACATAAATAAAGATGGATTGGTCAAATTGAAAGTATTTTGTAATACTTTGTATTCTTTCATTGGATGTGTATTATGAAAATAACAAATGTTGACCAATCAATGAATCCGTATTTGATAGAGGGAGATAAGAAACTTAGGTAAACAATTAATAGAATAAGGATGTAAAAGTCATTTTTACTCCATACAAAAAAAGTTCACGATAAAATAATTTTTTAGGGCGACAATCAAAATAAGCACAATCATCCCATCTGGGTGGTATAACCAGCAATGATGCAAACACCCATCACTGATTGTTTACATATGAATTTAAAAATGAATTTACGTATTGTCATTTAAAAGTGAATTTACAGCGGTGTTATTAGCGCAGTCATTTAAAAATGAATATAAATATTGTCACCAAAAATAGTATTTGTGCTCATTAGCATGACGGATTGCTTACAACGGTGTAGGAATGAAGACTAAGATTAAATTGATTTTTTTACATAAGATTGGAATTGAGTATCTCACACATTGGCAAAATGAAGTTTGAAGAAGTAGTTGCTGTAATATTTCAATGGTTAAAACCGCATATTCACTACAACTTCTCAAAGTTAAAAATTTAAAATCTATACTCATGAAAGCTCTTCCTAGCATAACAATTTCACCTTCTAACAATCTTGGATACTTCATTTTTTATAACCAAGTAACATCTGTTAGGTGTACTTGTATAGTTGGCCCACAAAACAATTCCAGCAATACCACTTGACTCTCGAATTAAAAATTCTACTTTTCAATCATCAAACTTTATACTCCATAATTCATACTAATGTCATTTTAGTCTTGTTAGGGTTTCCATCCACACAACAGTTCAATTACTTAAATTAATGGGAAAACTATCAAATAAGCCCCTGTACTGTACCGAAAAAGTCGATTAGGCCCTCATACTTTACAAACACTCAATTAAGTACTCGAACTATTAAAAAACGTTCAATTAAGCCCTTTTGGTGGGTAAGTAACCGATTTCCCGGTTAAACGACGACGATGGCGACGATGTGCTCGAACCCCAGCAACGACGGCTTCCGGGAAACAGGTTACATTTAACCGGGAAACCGGTTACTTACCGACCGAAAGGGCTTAATTGAACGTTTTTTAATAGTTCGAGGACTTAATTGAGTGTTTGTAAAGTACGAGGGCTAATCGACTTTTTCGGTATAGTACGAGGGCTTATTTGATAGTTTTCCCTAAAATAATTAACTTATAAATACTACGTATAATTTAAATTTATTCAGTTTATCGCCTTGGGTTCTTGAATGTATTATTATCACCCTCCATGAAGATTTCAATGGATATTGGATATAGAGATGATAGCACACCAACTTATTTCTTCAATTATTGCTCAAATATTGAGGTACAGCGGATTTTTCTTTTATACAACAAACAAGAAGTAATGCCGAGCGGAATTCATTCAAACACAATCAATGCCTTATGATCTTCATTTTCATCTTTTTTCATTTTTACCTCTTCTTTAACAGTCTCTTCTTCACCTTTTTCTTCTGATTTCTGTCTACAATATCTAAGTACTACAAAACATACGAATGCTGCAGAAAAACCAGAAAAATGTCAAAGTTAGTCCATGCAGAACTTTTATTTCAGAATGTTAAAGATAGACAAATAAATAATTTGTAAATTTACCTGCAAAAATGCGGGTTCTGATAGAGGTAAGGTTCCAAAAGGCAATCAATGCAGATACTGCTATAGTCTTCTTGTAAGAGCAATCTCCCCATCTCTCTATGGCCCAAAATTTAAAGCTCTCAGCTGTTCATGTTGAGATGTATGATCAGTTTTGTTTAAAGAGAGACAGATGCAGGAATTACTAATGAGGCAGTAATAACTATCATTTAAATACCTGTTCTACATATTTGGCTGGAGCATGAGGAATATAGTTTTGGGACAATGAAGCTGATGAAAAACCCTGCCAAAGCAGCATAAAATCGGTAACCGTAAGTCGAGTGCAGTTTATTCCTTGTTAGCTCATGTTTTACAATTTATTTTCTTAGTAATTCTTCTTCCTTGTATTAGTGATGAAATTTATATATTTATAAATTACATGAGTACTACTCAGTGTTAAACACATAAGGCCGTGGACAGAAGGAGGGAGAAATGTCAAAAATTTAATCTTTTGTTTCTATCTCTCTCCTACCACACGTGCACCGTGCACATTGTAGCATTGGAGATTTCTAAGCATGTTTTTGGATTTTAGAGTTGTCATTTTATCTATATTTGGGAGTTTCTTCTCTTTAAGAATATATATTTACTTTCCTTATTTCCCTCTCATTTGATTGGAAGAGAAGTAAAATCTCTCAATTTACTGTTCCACCTGTACTTTGTAAAGTTTTATATATCATCCAAAATGTTCGAAAAGGTATGTTTTGGATGAATGACAAAAATAGAAACGAAGATTTAATATTTGATTTTATATTTTTAGCATATATCTAAAAAAATCATTTAAGTTTACCTTCTCTTTTATTTTCTCTCGAGTTTTATTTCCTTCTAATTTTCCTCTACGTTTCCCTTCATGCTTATCTTTTTCCAAACTGACTCCAAAAGAACAATTTTTCCGCTCCTCACTTACTTTTACTACTTTCTCCCAAAGAAGGGAAAATCACAACTGTCTTCTTATTTTCCTCACATATTTTCTTTCCTCCCTCAATTTCTCAATGCCTAAGAATGGTTTTAGCCCCTTACCAAATGCAGATAGTCTCCACAGAGTAAGCAGATGGCCAAAGTTAGCTCCAACCAGCAGGAATGGTAGTACCTAAAGCACAGAACAACCACCATTCTCAGTTCCAACTCTGACTTATTTCAATATACTCCGCAACTAGTCTAATTCAATACACACAAGTATGTAACATTTACCTTTATGGTCATGGCAGGTTCTCCAGAAAACAACTCCCTTGTCTTCGAGATTGCAAGATTTGTTGTTGGAAGTATCAATCTCGCAATTCTCTGAATATCTTCTTCTTTAACAGTCTTAACTTCAACATTGTCTCTGAACATTCAATACCCATACCATTTTTAGTTCCGAAAGAGGATACTAAATATTGCAGTAAGTATCCTTCATGATAAACATACCTCGGACGAAACGTATTTGAGAAGAACGATACTACCAAAAATAGCAGGCCAACTTGAGACACGAAAGAAACAACACTGCAGCCACATTATAAATGAATTTCAAAACTAGAAAAAATATTTGAGCTTGGTAGGAATTTGACAGATATGAATATAAGTGAAGAAATGGGCATACCTTATGCTAACTTCATTGGCAAAAATAGAAGACAGAAAGCAGATAGAACCAAACCCAAACCAAAGGCTTGATTTTGCTACATCCCTCCACAACACCAGATCATATATCTGCTCACTTATCCTATCGAGATTAACCCCTTCACCTTCAATTGATTCTATACACCCCACGGCAATAAATAAATAAAAGAACTTTATAACCCACAAAGTACAAAAAATGAAGTAAAGGAAAACTTAGCATACTTGGAGATGGTATTGGAACTAAGCCAAGTTTATCTTTCTTATATCTACCACTGTGCTTCTTCTTCCTTGGCTTATGAATTTGTTCTCCCAATCCCAAATCTTTCTCTTCTTTCACCAATTCTATCTCTAACCTCCTTCTTGATCTCCGGCAACTTCTTGGAGAGGCCGCATTCCTAATCCTGGATCTCCTGCGACCCCCGCTGAGCTCCACACCATTGTCAGGTATTTCAAGCTTCTCCGCCGAAAGGGAAATTTTCCTACGAACAAGAGAAGGTGATAGGAGTAATATATCGCGGACGGGTAGACTATTAGGGAGCTTCGGAGATGAAGCGGAAGGTGAGTGCGAGGGGGAAGGCTCCACATTTAGAGATTCAAATTCGAGGTCATCGAAACAGCGGAGCGGGGAGAGTCTTGAAGCCGATTTTGTACTGCTCGAACGATGAGACGGAGGTGGTGTATCCATGGCTGGCCTGTTTCAGTGCTGGGATTTTGCAGAGTATGAAGTCGTGAAAATGGAAGAAAGAACCGTTGAAGGGGCTTGATTTTGTATTTTCTTTCGGGTCGATTCCGTTCAGACCATTTTGTATTGGGCTTGAATTTGTAGAGATAGACGAACTTTCTAACGGTAGAAAATCGGAGACAAGTCCGTTGGGTACCTTTTGACTTTCGATCATTGTATTGGATCTGTGACCATTTTTAAGTGGCGAGCAATAAATAATGATATCGGCCTTTTGACGAATTCTAGACGGAGGCTGGTAGTGGTAGTCAGGAATGGATTCAGAATTTTGAGTGAAGAGGGCGAACATTTTTGTTAGTGTAGGGGGTAAAAAAAATCACTAGGGTAGCGGGGCATTTTTTTCTTTACCGGTAAGTCCGGTATAGCAGGGTAGTGTAAGGCTCTGCGACTATTTATATTCAAAAAAATCATTAATGCATACCAACAACATTTAAATCTATATATTACATTCTAAGTTTAGACAATGACAAAATAACTTTAATTTTATAATTGAAGTGCTTTAAAAAAATGCATTGATACATTAAAATGTAAGAAATAGAAAATCAAAAAAAAAATAATTTGAAAAAAAAGGATATACTTCGTATAACATTTTACTTGAAGATAAAGAGTTTATAAGGTACAAAATCACTAATACTTTTAAAATAACTTCTACATTGTTTAACTACATTTTTTGTCTATCAAGGAGGATGTTCATGAGTCATGAGAAGTTTTCTTAATATTACAATAGTATGTATGAGATAATTATTTTTTGGATAATATTATTATGCTAATTCATATATATAGTGCATATATATGTGTATTAATCCTAAAATAAGTTAAATAGTATTATCTATTAAATAAAGTCTTTTTTAGAACGTAAGAAGTAAATGAATTGTTTAATTTAATATCAATAAACATTTATATTTTGGATTCACTTCACTTGATCTAAAAACTATGTAACTAGTGTGTCTGGTATTTGATATTGTTTGATATATATTTAACAAAATCGAGTACTAGTTATCTAATAAAGATAATTAAACATTACAAAACTAAGAATTTTTATATAATAAGTATCCTAAATCTTAAACATCGAGTACGTTGTTCTATTATTTAATTATTTAAGTTATGTAGATTATTTTAGATGTTCCTTCTTTTAAATCTCTATTTAAGTATTACATTATGTAAGATATATATTAACTTTGAAAACTATAAGTTAAGAGGGGCGAATCTAATTAAAGTATGAAAATTTTATGAAAATATTACATATATAGTAGAAAATTTTGAAAGTCCAAGTGAGGCGGTCGCCCCCCACGCCCCCGCCCCCTAAATCCATCCCTGGTGGTAGTGACGGGTGAAGGACTGGGGATAGAATCGTGTGTGTGGCAGGAGATATAGGTGAGGGGTACTGCGCGGATGGGGATGGAGAGGTCACGGCTGGACTTGAATTTTGGGGCACCTCAAGGGCAGCGGGTTCAAAGAGGGCAGTGGGTTGGGGAAGATGGGAATCGGAGTTGGTTTTGGTGAGAGTGAAGTCATTAGCAAAAGGAGCAGAGAAAGAGGAAGTGTTATCCATAGACGAAGACAATGTGGCATATGGAAAAATATTTTCATGAAAACGAACATGTCTACTAATAAAAACTTTACCAGACTTGGGCTCAAAACAACGATATCCTTTGTAACCGGATGCATAGCCAAGAAAAACACATTGAATGGAGCGAGGAGAAAGTTTATTAGAAGAAGAGGCAGAAAAATTTGGATAGCAAGCACACCCAAAAACACGTAATAAGCTATAGTCGGGAGGTTTTTGAAAAAGAATATCATATGGAGAAATGCCATTAAGAGTCGGAGTAGGAAGCATGTTAATTATATATGCAGCTGTAAAAATAGCATCAACCCAAAAGGTGCTAGGAATAGAGGTTGTGATGAGCATAGTCCTAGCAAATTCTAAAAGATGACGATGTTTGCGTTTAGCAACACCGTTTTGTTGGGAAGTATTTGGGCAAGACTTTTGAAAATAAATGCCAATTTTCAGCAAAAAACGGTTGCATATGAGAATTAACAAATTCACCCCCTCCATCACTTTGAAAAATTTAAATTTTAGAGTTAAACAAATTTTCAACTAAAGTTTTAAATAGTTTAAACTGATGAAAAACTTCATGTTTAGCACGCAAGGAATATATCCAGGTAAACCGAAAAAAATCATCAATAAAACACACATAATATTTAAATCCTAAATTAGATAAATCAGGTGATTGCCAAACATCAGAATGAATTAATTGTAATGACGCGGAAGAATTATGGCTAGCATCCGGAAAAGGTAATCGTTGAGATTTACCCAAACGACAAGAAATATAATCATGTTCAAAATTAGACGAACTAGAAATAAGTTTTCTATGAAGTAACAAGCGCAAAATAGTTTCACCACAATGCCCTAATCTACGATGCCACACAGGATCAGAAGAAGTGATGGAAGCTAAAGCTAAAGGTGCGGATGGAGTAAGGCTGATGGGGTAGAGATGACCATTATGACGCGCCTGAAGAAGAACTGCCCCCGAGATTTTAACCTTAATAAAAAATAGTTTTTATCAAAAACAGCAACACAGTTGTTATCAACACACAATTTTTGAATGGAAATTAAATTTAATCCAAGGCACATGAAAAACAGATTTCAAAAGACAACGGACGACTGAGTGTATTTAATGTAATATTTCCAATTTTAGCAATGGGAAGAGTAGTACCATTCGCAACACTAACAGTCATGGAACAAGAGTAAGGGAATTTATTTGACAAAATACCTTCAGAAGATGTCATGTGAGCAGAAGCACCCGAGTCCGGATACCATAAAACATCGTTTGATTTGCCACTTGGAGTAATCAAAGCAGGTGCAGAAGTCTGTGCGAGACAGGCAATGCAACGCAGAGTGACCTGCAGAAACATATTTGACACACAACTGGGGAAGGGACAGAACCAAGAATACCCTCAGCTGATGGGAAACCTGCATAATTACAGCGAGTACCAGAAGTAGATTTAGCATTAATATTTAAAATGGACAAGACAGATTTACCAGATGCATCATTAGGAAGTCGCGGTGCATGCACACCCCCTGCAGGTCTCGGCCCCAACTGATGGTACTTCGCCTAAGGTGCTGGCGTTGCATAGGACTGCTGCTGCTGATTTCGTCCTCTGCCGTGACCCCCGCGGCCTCGTCCGCCTCTGCCGCACCCTCCGCAGCCACAATAAGCAGCCGCCTGACCCAGCTGCCCAGCCCCCACTTGAACCCCAAAAGCTTGGTGAGGAGAAGAATTTTCATGGAACTGCCGGTGCAAGATTGCTAAAACATCGAGATTTAGGGATTGTGAAACTTCGAGATTGCTAAAACTTCGAAAACCCGGTCTTCTTCGCAGAACCTATAAAAAACTTTAAAACATCGAAATCTCAAAAATTCTAAAAACAAAATTTCAAACTTCTTTTTCTCAAAAGTTGATCGAAAACATCCAGCAAATGCAGAGTATATTTTGGGAAAAGGTACTCCAATAGGAGTCCTGACCTGTATATTTATAGTAAAAGAGTTTAAAACAAACTAGGAAACAAATATTCCTAATAATATTCTATTATTTGCAACCATGGGGCAAAGTGAGTAAAGTTAACCAATTCAAACCAAGCATACCAACCCAGCTGGTTGTGAGATTGCTGGTGCATATGTGAGGTCTCATGTTCGAAACCCGCTATGCACCAAAGGGAAGATGAGGGAGGTTTTGCTCCCAATGATTCTTTCTACCTTCACGGAGTTGCACAGTGGTAGGAGGACCCTCTGGATTCAGTTGACAAGAAGCCCTGCATGGTAGGAGGACCCTCTGCATTCATTTGAAAGGAAGTGGTGCTGGATTCGTCCCGTGGAACCAGTACCGACGAATGCTGACTGTGATCAGATCCGGATTTGAGTGTCTAGAGGCTTTGGTATTATGTTGGTACTAGACTTTGAATTGAAGTCTAGTCAATAGACTTCAGGATTAGGGGAGCACAAGCAACGACGCCTAATCATCAAATAAAAAAAAGTTAACCAATTCAAAGTCTATACAATCTTGAAAAAATGGTATTATGTTTGCATCAATATTGGTAAGTGACATTTACGAGCGAGGAACTACCATCTTTTATTCAACCCAATGAAGTAAAAAAAGATAGAGAGATAAAAAGAGAGCTACTCTTATTTTCAAAATATTGAAACTTAATGTTCCTATTTATAATGAATTTTCATCTTTTTATGCTACATATGAGTATATCTGTAAGTAAACATACGGAGCTAATTGATCTCCTTGAAGGAGATTACAACTTTTTATGCTACCATGAATTGAGCTACTTGGAGCTAACAGCATAATTGGGGATTTTATGTTAATCCATCCAAAACATACGGAGTATACAACTTTGTATTCCTTCTATTCAGGCTTCCTAAGATTTACCTACAAGTCTTGACAATTCGTACCATAGGTAAAACAAATTCCATCTCTGAGAATGTATACTCCGTAATTCATAGCAAGAAACAATGAATCCGTCAAATAATTTGCAGCTGATAATTAATTGAATGGTCACTTTCATAGCATGCGCTTTAAAAAGCTGAACTACTTATTCTTTGCACAAGTAATTATACAAATCTAAAAAAGACGTGACGGCATGCCGCTTTAGATTTCGAAAAAACAAGCAATTGAATCACAAGTATTTCATTGCTTTCTAATTGTTGACATTCAACAAGAAGTTAGATACCACCAGTTAATAGAATTATTCATTTGAAAAGAATGTCCTGGCTGATAGCTTAGTATTTCTTGGCATGCCTTAGACAAAAAGCTTTGAGCCTTCCAAGACCTTCATCAAGTGTCAATGGCTCAATTGCAAAAGTAATTCGGAGCCAATTCTTGAGTCCCACCCCAAATCCTGCACATATTTTTGTCACTAATTTATCAGAATATAATGCTACAAGAACACCATGTAAAAAGTTAAAAATTAGAAGCAAAAAACAGATATGGTTTATATCACTAAACAAGTACTGAGTTTATCCATTGGGGGGGGGGGGGGGGGGGTGCTTGCATTGTCGTACCTGGCAAAATTATCACTGATTCCTCCTTAGCCAGCTTGAGACAGAACTCCAAATCATCTAAAATGTCTTCCAAGAGATCCAGATTAAGTTTTACCTGACAAGTTGGAAACTCATGTTATAACAATTTAACTATATCAGTTATAGGTTAAAGTGTTAAATGATTTTGACAATACAAATCTTACCATCACAAACATAGAACCTTCAGGTTTGCTTGGGCAGGTGATGCATGGGATCTCCTTCATTTTTTCATAACAGATGTCTGCTGCTTCTCTTAGTATATTTACAATTTTAGAGAAAAACGTTGGTTTGGTATTCCGAATAATATCAGGGATTGCTCCCTGTAAATAAACCGAACAAAAAATAAAAAGACCATAATTAAAAGAACAAGGGAGACCATATTCATATGCATATGAATAATAATTAGCAAATGAAGCAGTCATATCTAAGAAACACTGAAATGGTAAGCTTGGAATTTAGAAGATTCTCCTAACACTTAGAATTCCAGAAGCTAAAAGTTACCCCTCTCGTCTGCTTCCATAGTTTATTTGAAGAATTAAACAACACAACTGATTTTTTGTGACAAATAAATTGGTGCTTCATGATTTTTTTCATAGCCCACATACTCTCTTTACCAGAAAATCAGAAATAGAATATTTTGTTTAACAAAGCAACTCGAAATGGGTAAATGATCAAGTACCCCATACGAAGTAAAGCTACCGCTCAAGAAAATAGGAAAAATAGAGGGAAAATCATATTAGAGAAGATGCTGATGGACTTAGAACCTGGATAAAGGTTGCAGGGTCAGACGAAATACTGAGGAAACCTGTGATGCAATCTATAACCTGCATATACAAAAACATTTTGAGCTCTTTCCTTCATATTAGGTGGTCACTTTTTTAATTATTTTTAATCATCATTCATGAGAATGTTAAGGGTTGTTTCAGTAAGCAATACAATACAATGCTTTATATCTTGGTTTAGCTTTAGAGCATTTTGAGTTGCTCCTCGGAAAACCTATTATTATTTTACCCAAAATATCTTTTATGGAGCCAAAACTCTCTGAAACTGCTCAGTCAACCCAAACACTCAAATCACAACATGACTCATAGTTTCATACTTACACACCAAACTCCAACTCAAAGACAGAACTAATAACCATCATGTCTAAATAGGCTGCTAGTGATATGGTACAAAACAAAAATCTGCACAAATGTATATGTGATTATGTAATGCAAATTATAAATATGGGAATGTTTGGATACCACAAAAGGAAAACAAAAGGCACACTAAATTGCTTTCTTATGTTTGGTTTAACCTTAAAAAATAAGAAGGAAATTAATTTTTAAAAATGAATATACTTAAATGTTTGAAATAAATTTTAATACGAAGTACTTTAGTAGAAATAAATAAATACAATTAGTATGAACCATATAAAAAATACACTTTGTCATTTTATGCTTATCTTTTATTTTCCGCCAAACTTTCTTTCGCTCCAATATATTTCCTTTCCATGATATTTTCTGGGTTCCAAACGGACCCTAAAATAGAGTGGGAAGGGAAAGGAAAGCATACCCCTTGTTCTTTAAGAATCCCGTTGGTATCATTAGTGACAAGCCACCCAAGTCTCCAACCAGGAACAATCCACCTCTTTGATATTGATCCAACAGTAATAACAGGAACAATTGAACCAAAAACTCCCATAGGTACAAAAGGACTATCTCCAAAAGTAAGATGGTCATATACTTCATCAGAAATTACAAGAATCCCGAGCTTTTTTGCAGTCTTTGCAATCTTTGAGGAAACAAAAAACTACTTTAGATCAGAAACCATCCTAGTGCGCATTTTAGATCACTCTCAAACTGACATACGTAATATTTAGGCACCTTCTTTAGATGTTGGTGTTTGAAGACATTCCCACATGGATTACCAGGGTTTATAATGACCATTGCAACAGTATTTTCATCTGCCAAAGCCTCAACAGCATTAAGGTCAGCTTCCCATTCATTACCTGGAAGAAGATCAAAGTGGCGGACTTCAAAGTTGGTACAGGCCGCCCTAGCTTCGTAGAAAGGGAATCCTGGCCTCGGAAGTAGAATGTTAGCATTGGGGCGAGCAAGAACGGTAAGAAGGACTTCTATTGCTTGTGTGCATCCAAGTGTAAGGTAAACATCATCAGGTGATAGCTCATAAGGGAGATCTTGAGAAAGGTACTCAGCTACTGCCCTACTCATTTAACATACATTAATCACTAATCATTAATGAAAATCACTGATGCGTGGTCATAAATCAACTTCTTTTAGTGTTGAGTCATGACACACCAGCTAAATATAAAAATCAAGCCACAATACAAATATACTTTTGTTGATTTTTTAATAGAATCCAAGTTTTTAAGAGAAAAAACTCCAACAAGCAATTTGATAATGATAGGCAGCAACATGAGCACACAGATTTCAAGATAAGCAATGTCCCGCTAAAAAATAAAAATACTTACTCAAAATGACCTTTTTTTATGGAACTTCAAATCTTAATGCTTAGAGATGTAAGAATTAATCGCTTCATTCCTAATCGTGTCTACCCTCTAACACGATTCAAGTGTGCGCAACATATTCAATTATTGACTAATTAGCCCATCTATTTGTACAAATTGCAAATATTTAGTCAAAATTTGCCAAATAAATTCAAAATGGGAACCGCGCAATAGCTTAAGAGGTTGTCCAGTAAAGCTGAAAAGATGAAAGAGTGAATTATTACTGTCTAGCGGGAAGAAGGCCGGTGGAAGGGGCATAGCCGTTGAACTTAGCGGAAACAAGGGAGCTGGAGATGGCGGATTCAGCCTCGGGTGGTGTCCGGAAGCAGGCGAAGGCAGAAGGGTCGCCGTGGCCGAGAGGGATGACGGGTCTCGGGTCGTCCGGGTTGAGGTTTTTCATCACAGTGCCGAGAATTCCTCTTATGCTGATTGCGGAGGCTACTATGAGCTCTTCGTTCCTTCTGAACCCCCACCTCCTTGACTGGCCGACGTTATCCATCGCTGACGATACTCCACTAACTCGATGAGCAGAGTCGTTACAGGAAATGCATGGAAGAGTGGACTGTTTGGAATGGGTAACCCCGGTGGTTGGCGTCGAGCGTCGTTTTGTGCATATAATAAAGAAAGAACTGTAATAGAACGTGACATTGAATGGGCTGAAACAAATTTTTGAGGGCTCCATCACCAATCATTCAGTGCTGAGCGTTTGTCAGTTCTGAAACATGTTCTCGCTAACCCATCTCGAATATCAGCTAAGATTATATCGCTCCAAATCATACCGTAGACGAAGTACAACTTTAGTCAATTTTGAACCTATAATCCATAAAAAAAAAACATTCAACTTTTTTTGAACCTATAATCCATAATCCAACTTTTGTCAATATCAGCTGAACTATTTTTTTGAGAGTTTTTTTTCGGAAATAAATTATTACCAAAATACTATCGGGTTAAGAATAATTCTCAAAATATGTTGGAATTAATCACGGTTAAGGAAAGTCGTCACTCCAAGTGGCGGCTCTTGTATTACTTCACAAAAGCCGTCAGTTTGTCACTCCGAGTGGCGGCTCTTCTCTTATACACCTCCGTCCCGAAATAATCGTCCTGGTTTGAACTTCACACAGATTAAGAAAGTGAAATTGACTTCACACTACAGCGACACTGTTTGGCATTGTAGCGACACTGTTTGGCATTGTAGCGATACTGTTTGGCACTGTAGCGACACTGTTTGACACTGTTTTGCACTGTTTGACACTATTTTGTATAGATTTATTTACAAATAAGGAAAGGGGACAATTATTTCGAAACGGATCGAAAAGGAAAGCAGGACAATTATTTTGGGACGGAGGGAGAAGTACAAAAGCCACCACTTCAAGTGGCAGCTCTTTTCTTACGTCCCATTTTGTACATATATAAAACGCAGTATGTTTCAAGAATTTGTTTAACTCCTTTCCCGATTGAATTTTCAGCTGAAATTTGGTATGCATCGACTAGACTTGATGAGGAACCTGCTCAAAAAATTTCATCAAAAAATTCCACCGAAAACACCCTCTGATGGTGTTGTTCGTGGGGGGTTCCGGTCAGGACGTCATGGCAAAAAGGTGGTCCGGCCACCTCTATTTGAGGTGATTCCCGGTGGGATGTTTTGCTGATTTATTTTTATATTATTCATCAAGTCTAGTTAATCCATATCAAATTTCAGAACCAATCTCAATCGAGAAAGCAGTCAAATGATTTTTTAAAGATAACTGCGTTTTATATGTATAATCCGGCGTAGTTCTCTTTCGAAAATCATTTGACGGCCTTTCGGATTGAATGTTTTGCTCAAATTTGGTATGACTGAACTAGACTTTTTTAAGAACATAAACAAAAAATTCCATCAAAACATACCACCGGAAACCACCTCAAATTGAGGTGGCCGGACCACCCTTTTGTCATGACGTCCTGACCAGAACCCCCCGCGGACAACACCGTCAGAGGGTGTTTCCGGTGGAATTTTTTGATGAATTTTTTGAGCAGGTTCCTCATCAAGTCTAGTTTATGCATACCAAATTTCAGCTGAAAATTCAATCGGGAAGTCAGTTAAACAAATTCTTGAAACATACTGCGTTTTATATATGTACAAAATGGGACGTGAGAGAAGAGCCGCCACTTGAAGTGGCGGCTTTTGTACTATAAGAGAAGAGCCGCCACTCGGAACGGTGGCTTTTGTGAAGTAATACAAGAGCCGTCACTTGAAGTGACGGCTTTCCTTAATCGTGGTTAATTCCAGCAGTATTTTGGGAATTATTCTTAACCTGGTAGTATTTAAGGAATACTTTATTTAATTAGCATTATTCCGAGAAAAAACTTTTTTTTAACCTAAACCCATTCAGATAAATCCCGAAGTTTTTTTATATTTCGAAAAAATTGATTAAGAATAGTCTCACATTTAATTGATCTTTTCATAATAATATCACATTTTCATTGGACTCTAATCGGTTGATAATTTACTGTATCAGATTTTTTTAAACCTTACATAAATAATCTTATTTTTCACAAATCTGCTCAAAACAGTCAAATGTTTTTTTTATCGTCCCTAATTTTTTCTTTCTTTAGTTTTATCCCTAGATACTTTTTTTAACCCAGAAGGCAAAGCACCAAAATCAGTGGGGTAAATGTTGGAGAATATTTACCAAAGTTTTATTAAAAATCAAGAATAGTACAAAAAAGGGGAGACTATGCCAAAACTCCTTTAAGAGGAGGCATACCTCCTCAAAATACAACAGAGGCAAGAAAAATAGACACAAATTGGGGGGCTAGACCTAACCCAATGTGAAACAAAAGTACAACAATGCAAAAAATAAAACAACGAAACAAATCAAAAAATAAATCTAAAGGATGGAAATCCAAATAAGTCAGAATAATAAGCCCGTTGGACTGAAACTGGCAGTTCCGCAATCCGAGTAAACTTCTGCTGTTGATGTGAAGATTAGGCCGCTAAGAAATGGGCTACCCAATTACATTCCCTTACCCCATAAGAAAAACGGCTACCTTTCCTCTTTGCACGCAGCAAACTTTCCTGAAAGCCGACCTTCCATCTACCCGCTCCACCATCTTCCAGATATCTCATCGCCACAGTAGCGTCCATCTCGACTAGAAAATCCGAGTAACACTCCTAGATCGCAAAGCCTATTTTATCCCTAGATACTTTTATTCCTTTTCCATCCTTTTATTCTTAGTTCTTTCACTACTTATTATTCTATTTCTCATTCTATTCGGAGATTTTTTTTTTTGTAAAATTTCCATCCCAAATACATTTTTTGCCATTCTCTTTCTTCTTGTATTTTTATATCTTTCCTTTTTATGTTTCTGTTCTTAATCATTCTCTTTTTATTAAGTATCTCCCACTCTATTTTTTGTTATATTTTCTTTTAATTTTCACTTACTACTTTTTTCTTGTTGTTACTTTTTTTATGTTTTTTCTTCTTTCTTCTTTTCGTTCTTCGTATTATCTTAATTCCACCATCAATATATTTTTCTAAGTAAACACACCCATTAAACCCATCAATTGTGGAAAAAACTTTATGTGATTAAAAGATTAGAGAAAAATAAAATTTAAAGAAAATAAAACATTAGGAAATGTAAACAAAATTAAAACATTCAGGAAAACATTTTTTTCTTTCTTAAAATTTCTCTAATATTTTATTTTTCTTTCAATTTTATTTTTCCCTAATATTTTCGTCACATAGAATTTTCTCATAATTGATAGAATTAATGGGTGGACTTTCGTAGAAATATACAATAATGCCGAAAGAATAAAAAATACTGATGGTGGAAATAAGATAACAAGAAGAAAGAAGAAAAGAATAAAAAAGAGAGATTACCCAAAATAGGACTAAAAACGTGTGTATATTCCAAAATAAGACTATCATATTTTTATTCCCAAAATAGAACTAATTACTGCCATGTTTTGGCAGTACCAGACTTTAAACATGGCAGTATTTTCAAACTTGGTAGTAATTACTCCTATTTTGGGAATAAAAAAATGGCAGTCCTATTTTGGAATTTTCAAACTTTTTTACTCCTATTTCGGAATTTTCCCATAAAAAAGTGCCAAGAAGAAAAAAGGAAGAAAATGAAAATAAAAAGAAAATATAACAAAAAGTAAAGTGGGAAACATTTATAATAAAAAATTAATGACTAAGAAGAGAAATACATAAAAAGGGAAACAAAATAACATACAGGAACAAAAAGAAAATGAAAAAAAATCTATTTGGGAAGGAAATTTTACAAACAAAATACTCCTAACAGAGTGAGAAATAAAATAATAAATACGAAAAAGAAACAAGAACAAAAGGATGAAAAAGGAATAAAAAAGTGTCTAATGATAAAAATAAAGAAATAAAAGTTTTAGAGAAAGAAATAGAAAAAATGACATTTATATTACTTATATACAGTTTTCATTAACAAAAATATGACTAGTTATGTTTTTAAACAAAAAAAACAGTTTTCAAATCACAGTGTGCGATCAACTGGATAAAAGCCACTATAGTGTATTTGAGAGTGATAAGTAACTGAAAGATAATGAATCGCTGAGAACGAGTCACTAAATATGTCACTTTTGGAAAATTTTAAAGTAAATTATATTTTTGTCTTTTGAACTTAATTTAGTACCTTATTCGTCCTCTAAAACTGTCGCATTTTTTCCATTTTTTGATGTTCCACTATTATTGTCTTATACCATACGTGATGCATTCCAATAGTATGTAGATAACTACATGTTAATACATCCCTAAATAGTAAATGAATTTTAAATATGATAAATAAGGGTAGTTATGTAATCATCAGTGCCTATACCGTACGACCGGTATGATCACGTCAACCTAATTAATTAAGGTCATGGTGAATACAAAATAAAAAATTTAATACTTCCTTTTAAAATTAGGGCACATACACAAATAATTAAGGCATTTTAATTCACTAATAAATATAATAAAATTAGTCCATATTTGAAAAATTAAACAGTTTGTCATTTAACTAAGATAGGCCTCGAACTTACAAAAAATATCAAATAAGGCCTTATAAAGTGGGTTCTGTCCGGCCGATGCCATTTGAGGCTGTTCCTGGTGGAATTTTTCGGTGAAATTTTGTGAGAATCTTAATCATTAAGTCTAGTTTACGCATATCAAATTTCAGATAAAACCTCAATCGGGAAGACATTCAAATAAATTCTTGAAGATAACTGCGCTTTTAACTCCGCACTTATCTTCAACAATTTATTTGATTGCCTTCCCGATTGAAGTTTTATCTGAAAATTGGTATGAGTCAACTAGATTTAATGAATAAGATGCTTAAAAGTATCGTTGAAACATTTCACCAGGAACTCTTTTCCTTTTAACTAAACTATGAGCCCGTTTGGTAGCATGAAAATCGGCTGTTTTGACTGATTCTGCTGAAATTTATGAAGTTCTGGCTGAAAAGGCTGCATTGGCTGATTCTGCTGATTTAAGAAAAAAAAAAATTAAAATATATTTTATTAATAAAATAAAGAAAAAATTATATGTAAAAATAGCTAAAATGATCATCTACATTAACTTCAGCCAATACAGCCAGAAAAGTAACTCCAACCTTACATTTTCTGCTTATTGCACAATACAACGCGCGAAAGCAAAAATTACGCGTTTGGTGAAAAAGTTGACTAATAAGCCTGATAAGCCGAGAAACGGTGTTACCAAACGGCCTCTATATATATAGTCAAGAACCTGCCTTTATCATTGGTTCAAGACGCAACTTTCTTATCCTATAGATACTAGTTTTTGAATATTTTGCTTCTTCATCAGAAGCTCTCAATAATGCAATTAAATCCCT